TAAGAACGTGGTCCCTCCCCGGTCGAGCCGACCCATTCGTACTACAACTATACCAGTAATACAAGTACAGCTGCAGCATGACTCTACCACGTTGTAATTCTTTCTAGAATCATCACGGCTCATGATCAATGCGTGTTTTGTAACTTTTCTTAAGTTTTAATATTATTTAAATTTTGAACGAGAATTTCATTGTATGATTGTCTTTGTCATTGAACGACTGGAGTTGGACCGATTTTGACGAGTTTTAGTGTGTGTTTGTCCCTGGATGGCTTATATTCACAATTGAAGACGGTAGGTGGCGCAGTTGTCTAGATTCAGAAATCACCCGTGCGAATACAAGGCAGATCTTCTTTCGATAGATGGTGGTACAATCTAAGAATGTGTTCTGCTAGCCACATGTGTTGATTTAAATAAATAAATATCTTCTTTACGCCAGTTGTAAAATACAGCTTTGACGGGGCACAGCGTCAAAGATACTTCTGGGCCTGCGTTCACCAATCCGCCAGCTAAGCGTGGCGATTAAGACAATTTCTCACAACAAGATAGGCTTTTGTCCAGCTTGGACTTGGACTTCTACGGGCTGTTGAAATATATATGACGCGTGTATATAAGTGTTATATTATAAAGCTGTGTGCGTGTGGCGCTGGTTCAATTCCCGCACGGATTGATTTTAGTATGGCTTACAAACCATACCACGTTATTATTTTTGTTTAAATCTACAAGTTATTTATTTTCTTTTAGTGGAAATTAATGGGACTGTAATTAGATATACGAAATGTATGGAGTGCATAATATCAGCCGCCCGGCCTTTATTTGGTTTGGCGTACCTAATAAGAAGTACCTAATTTCAGCGACGTAATATAAATCAGGGCTGTCATAAACTGGAATAAATAACATTAATTAGATCATAACTTTTTTTATTATTAAGGGAGTTCTGATCAATTCATCTATTTTAAAATTGGTTTTAGATTTTAAAGTTTAGCAAAAGATGTATTAGCTTTTATATCTGACATTCGGTGTATATTAAAAACACATTATTTTTTGAGAAAGAAGAAAACACAAACAATAAATATAGTATATACAAGCAAAAACTATAACTTAGTAATACTAATTATATTTTAGAACATAAATGAAAAACTCATGACAAGGAAAGTAGTTTAGTACCAGGCTTTGCAGCAGTCTATGGAGTCTATGATTACTGAATTAAAAATTAAAGGGAGCTCCCCTACTAGACACGTGATTTACGATGGTACGGATGGAACCCTTCATGCGCAAGTCTGACTCGCACTTGGCCGGTTTTTTGTTTTTAAAGTCGGTATTACTTTTTATTAAAGATTTAATTAAATAGCCTGATATTAATAAGTAACAGGTTAATTGTCCGCTATTACTATCTATGAGTCACGTAGCATCTATTTTCCATAGGGTATAATACTGTGTGCTCGTTTGTAATTGTTAATCTCGTGAATCTCTAGTTGTTATAGCATACGTTCAAGATTTTTGTCCCAAATTCTTTCTGTAAAAATGTGCTTAAGACATAAAACTCGTCCTCTTACTTAATTTCCAAAACTTGAAACTTATCCTTGTTGTAGAACAAACCTCGAGCGTCAAATTACCTTCGCAACCATTGGCGTTTTCCCACCATTGTCGCTGCTGACATTTGACCGGCGCATGCGCAATGTGAGTCGCGACCTATTACGTACATACCTTAGTTTACATACAATGAGGAAAATAACGTCCGTCTTTAGACTAGGATTTTAAAAAAAAATGGGTTATTTCAATTGAATCTGTTTAAGTCTCGGTTTTAGTGTGCAACTATTCGTTAATACATGTGATGGTTGTTGAACACGTAGAAAGAACGGATGAGGAAATAGCGAGGAGTAAGTGGCAGTCGGCAAGGAACGCAGTAGACGAAAGTATATAATAAACCACAGATTATTACTACTTCTTATATAAACCAAATTGGTGATATATTGAAGACTAGCTTATACCCGTGGCTTCGTCCGCTTTGCTTGTTATATTAACAAAACTTTCGATATATATACACGTAAATACGACTCCCCACTTCTCCACGGCACGAAAATGTATATCACTGAATTCACTGATCACGTAGTGCTTAAAATAAAATATAATATATAAATAATAATATATAAGATAAAAGTCATTGTTTCTTAAAACTTTAATAACTTTATATTAAATGAAGTATATATATATATATATATATTATATATATATATATATATATATAAGTATATCGCAATATTTTGTTTTAGATTTGGGCCTTCCAAGTGTCTAAGAAATAAAACTTAGAAAACCTAATTGAAATCTATCCAGTAGTTTTTCCGTGATGCGCGCACAACTGCGAATCTGTATCATTTTATTTATATAAATTAAGGGTACCCTTAACCGACGAGCAGTTTTTCGTAGATATGTCTATCTCTTCGCATCTTTGATAATATCGCATATCAAAGAAGCGAGAGATGTGTATCGGGATTAGGCCAAATAAAAGTCCGCAGTTTCTGCCTACACCTCTGGGCGACATGCGTGAGAGTTTATGTATCTATTAATACATTAAGATACGAGTACGTTATCACAAAGCTTAGGAATATTAACATCGCTCGTCGTTTCAAAGGAGAAATCAAACAAATATGGAAGGTCGTAAACGCATGCCAGCCATTTGCATTGTTTACAAAATGGCTCGATTCTGATTGGTGTGCTAAGCGTTGCGACGTTACTGTTATAAGTATAACTCGAGAGACTCGAGACGTTCCATTCGCTGAGCGGCCCTAATCCAATTAAAAGACACGTGTGCTGGGAAGGCAACGGTTCGAATAACAATGATTTATGAGAAGCTGGAACTAACCAATACATGCCTTGCCTGTGTACTAGTGGGTCGGATATCGTTTGTTTTTTTTAAATAAAATGGAAGTGACAAATGAACTTACATTCTACATAATGCTAAATGGCTACTGCAGTCCATGGACACATGCAATCAACTTCAAACAAAGAAGGCTGCAGATGCGTTGTCACCTCTGAGGACTAAAATAGAATGTCTCACAGCCTGTGATACAGTTTACGTGGTAGAGCCATGCTGCATCTATGTTAGTGGTATAGTTGTAGCACAAATGGGTCGGCGCGACCGGGATAGGATCACGCTCTCACTGAATAGTGAGTGTAGAGAACCGGAGACGAGGCATTCCATCTTAGTTCTCAAGGGTGACAACGCATCTGCATTTTGATTCTTAATTAAGGATATATGTAGATGTCTATGGGCCACGGCAGGCCACTTACCATCAGGTGAACTGTGTGCCCGTTTGTCACCCTTATCTTATATAAAAAAATAGAGGCGCTCTATATGCTTTAGTGCCAGCAGTGTATTCAATGAGGCTTAACGGTAGAAATAGGTAAGAGAGCGGCACTTACCCAGATGGACTCCTTAGAAAAGTTTTACTATTTAGTACGTACTTAAGTAGATTCTTACCACTGAGTGATTGACACCTACTTGACAGCAGCTGTAACTGAGTTTATTGTATTATTGTACTAAGGATGTCAATTGCGTATAGGTTTTAAACTTGTATCCCTCTTCCTAAGCTTAGTCTTATCACTGTAATCATTTTGATAACATTGTCTGACGACGGCTTGATAAATCCTCTAGTTGTTCGGATGTCGTAGTCATACAACATAAGGCAAGAATACCATCAAAGATATTGCAATCATAAATAGTGTTATGTCTATATTTTATATATATTTTTAGGTTAAGGTATATATTGCTACGGGCCAATGTTCTTAATTTTTAAGTCCTTGATGCCTGAAATAAAGTTATTGTATTGTATTGTATTGTATTGTATTGTATTGTATAAAACGTTTAGAAAATGTTCGTGGTAGTCTAGTAAATGGCATCGCAATAAATCGCTCGTCATATATATTACGTTACGGTATTTTTTTTATATAATTACCGTGTAGCGGCGGTGTAAGGATATCCGCTACACCATATCGTCCCGAGGGTGTCGTAAGAGGCGACAGAGGGAAAACGAAACAGATGGGCAACAGCATCTTCCTGATAATAACTTAAAATAATAAAAAAAACTACAGTTGGCAACCCGCTTGTTAAGCGTGGCAACTATGGTTAAATCGCCCCATGAGGGAGAACTAAGAACATGTTCAGCTGTGGACTTTTAAAGGTTGTAATGGATGGATGGATGAAGGCCGGAGTGACGCCCTTTTTTATAGAATAAGGATGACAAAACAGCACATAGTCCACCTGATGGTAAGTCGATGCTGTGGCCAATAGACATCTCCAACTATCCTCTATTAAGAATCAAAATGCAGATGTATTATGACACCGAATGACTAAGATGGAATGCCTTTTTTCCAGTAAAAAGGGTCTCGGGTTTTCTACACTCACTATACAAAACACAGCAATAATATACTGCTATTTCACCTTGGTGTTCTGTGTGGTCCTTTCCCGGCCAACTATCCGACCCATTTGTTCGTTTCTTTCTTTTTTTTTAAATTTGTGCTACAACTATGATATAGCTGCAGCATTGCTCTACCACTTCTATCACTGCTGTAGTGCTATTGTGTAACACTTGGGAATCAATTAACGTTTGACGTTTGGTTTCATTGTATTGTGTAAATATATCGGTGTTAATTATAAGCCGATTTATTTTTGAAGTTATACTTCTTTTGGGGCGTTTGGGAAAAATGAAGAGAGCTACTTTTTACGATGGCGCGCACACCAACACCTAAAAACGACACCATGAAATTGTTGCGATGCGCGCGCACACTGATACCTAAAAGCGACAACTTCAGTGGGTAATTGTCTCTCAACTTTTTTTGTTTTGTTACGCTAAAGAAGTATAACTTCCTATGTGCGTACATAAATATACACTTACTCTTTTTTATATTAAATTAATATTTTAGCTTTAAAATATTATCATAATGAAAACATCAACTATCAACAACACACAACGTCATATTTAATACTTTATTCTTCTTTCCAGGTGATAGGACAACGAGAATATGCAGTCAGGCCAACAAGACGGCCGTCCGAAGAGTTACAGACTGGACAGCCTTTAGATATAGTTATACAACAGGTAAGAATTTATTTAATTAACAAATTATGATAAATAATACAATAAAGACGGCTTGTACTTGGCCACTTCCAAAAGATTACGAACATAACGACCATAAAGAAAAAAGAATTTTGTTTCCACCGCAGCAACTTCCAAAACCTTGTACTAACGGATAATAAGGTAAATTTCGATGTTTCGTACTTCTCGTATTTAACAGAGAATAATAATTGTTGGCATATTTGCGTATCACACAGCGTCACCATGATAGCCGTGACCCTTGCCCGGATTTGGTTGTGTATGACGTCAGCAATAATACTTACTAGGGCTGCAACATAGGTACCAAAGACATTGTAAAGCAGGAAAATTTACAGAAATATCTTGACAACCGTCTTTATCGGATTATTACTGTGATTATTGTGTACATCGCCCATGTCAAAACAAAAAAATCAACATTATTAATATGAAAATACATTCTTGACGTTAGTTTCATTACAATGGCTTTTCGTAACATCTTTCGGCTGGCGACATCAAATCTAAACACACGGTGTTTCAGTAAAGTTCGGAAAAGGGCGACGCACTGGCAGTAACGCAAAAACTATTATCTACCTACACAAATTTTGCATGTCTACCCTATAAAAATTACCAAGAGTATCGGTTATAGGGTTGAAATTCATTTAGTTATTAATAATAAAAGGAATTTTTTTATCAAAAAGCAACGGTGTTCTACTAAAAAGATAATAAAAGGGTTGAGATCTAAATGGTCACTAAGCTCTATGGCAGTTCCAAGAACGTTGTACATTCTTATAGATTTATAAATTAAGCAACTTAGCGCCAAACCATTCAGATCTCAACTACTTAACGGCAGAGCTGGTAATCCCGAACGTCGTTTGTACGGAACTAGGCCCCCTTTTCACATTTTGATGGGATACATCTGTACTTAAATTTCGCGACTCTACACTCAGTAATTGTCAAGTGTCAGTGGGTATAAGTGATGAGAGAGTACAAGTGAAGTGATTATCAAAACTACTAAATATGTTAATATTAAATAGCTGAGATCCGCGTAAAAATATAAATGATGTGTATTAACTATGTAGTTTGTAGAGCCGCCATCCTCAATTGCGTGCACTATTCCCGTCACCACTAATCCCAACACCACTAAACTAGGAAAAACACACCGTCTTCGATAATACGGTACACGTGTTTCACCTCTAAATGAGGCACCATCAGGACAAATGGACTTGGCGATGGCTGACCGCTAAGACTAAGCTAATTTATTTATTTTATTTTATTTTTATTTGCTTGGAAAACTTACAGCTAATTTACAAAAATAATATAATTATAACAAAAATGAAGGCCATTTACAAGTTTTCACTTATATAATACTTTATATGACAAGAGTGTGTCAGAAGAGATATAGTAACAGTATACTTAAATATAAATTACATTATCAAAAAGAAAAGAAGTTGTTAGAAAGTAAACGCCTAAGTTGGATAACGCTGGAATGAAATAAATCAATATCCACATTGTGAGTATGTGCTGTAGCATTAAAAGATCTGCATGATCGAATAATAAAAGAGTTTTTCCTGTAATTACTTTTCACGCATGGTACATATAAAAGTGTAGGTTTCCGCAAACCAGATGATGAGGTGTGTAAACCTATTTTACTTAATAGTTCAGGACAATCAATATTACCATTCATAATTTTAAAGAGGAAGGAGAGATCTGCAATATTTCTACGCTCATATAAAGGTAATATGTGATTTTTTTTACATCGAAGAGTATAGCTGGGTATAAACTTTTTTGATTTAAATTGAAGAAAACGCAAAAATCTTTTTTGTATGCGCTCTATCCTATCCACATATTCATTATATTTTGGATTCCAAATTTCAGAACCATATTCCAAATGGCTGCGTACAAAAGCGCAATATAGAATTTTGAAGGTTTTTATGCTTTTAAAATCTGCCGATAACCTTAATATGAAACCCAGCGCTTTGTTAGCCTTTGTAACGATGTTATCAACGTGATTGTCAAACAGCAATTTAGAGTCAAAAGTAACACCGAGATCTTTGATAGTGCTGGTTCTATTTATAGAAATATGGTTTAATTTATAATTATAAATTATAGGATTAGGTTTACGAGTAAATGAGCAGATAAAACATTTGGAAACATTCAGATCGAGTTTATTGTTAGAACAGTATGCTTCTAAATTGAAGAGATCCTTTTGAAGGCTAGAACAACTTTCCAAACTTGTAATAGGACATAAGATTTTCATATCGTCAGCGTAAAGAATAATCTTGGAATTTTTAAAACACGTGTCGATATCATTGATAAAAATTAAGAAGAGCAAGGGCCCCAATAGGGATCCTTGTGGTACGCCAGACGATATATGGATTGCAGACGAACGATATCCACCAAGGACGACAGATTGACTTCGATTTCTGATGTATGACGTAAACCATCGGAATAAGTCCCCCCTGATACCCATTGCAAGGAGTTTACGTAAAAGAATTAAATGATCGATTCTGTCGAATGCTTTGCAGTAGTCTGTATAGACTACATCTACTTGTGCTGGTTTAGACATAAAGCTAGTTAGATAGTCGGAACAAATAACAAGGTTTGACACGGTAGATCTGTTTTTTAAGAAACCATGTTGATTTTCACTAAATGAGTGGCGAAGGGAAGAGTACACCTGGTTGTAAATTATTTTTTCAAATACTTTAGCGAATAAACAGAGCTTGGAAATGGGACGATAGTTTTGTACCTCATCCTTAGGTCCTTTTTTGTAAATTGGAGTAATAAACGCACTTTTCCAAATATTTGGAAAAATGCCTTCCTTTAAGGAACGGCGGTACAGAATACTCAGAGGCAAAGTAAGAGAGTCCGCACACCGTATGATTAAGATAGCCGGGATACCATCTGGTCCAGCAGACTTGTACAGATCTATAGCCTTTAAAAGTCTGGATACCTCTGCTTCTTGCACCTCGATGGAACTGATATCAATAGAAGATTGATCAATTTGCGAGTCAATAATATTAAAATTAATTGTGTCGGAATCGTTAAGAAAATTAGATTTAAAAAACTGATTGAAAAAATCACAAATTACTTCACCTTTGCCTGAAGAATACTGTCTGAATTTCATAATAGAAGGATATGAACTTGGAGATTTTTTACTCTTAACAAAGTTCCAGAAGGCTTTCGGTGATTTGCTTATATTATTTTCTATATCACGAATGTAAGCTTCGTACATACTTTTTTCAAGAACCTTCCCACGTTCTCGTAATAAAACAAAAGAATCAAGGTCGGAAGTATTTCCATATTTTTTATACTTTGAGTGATACTTAAATTTTTCTTTTAAGATTTTAATCAAGGGTGTTTTATACCAGGGAGGAAATCTGGAAGATGATTTTACAGTTTTGCAAGGGACATGTTTGTTAATTAGCATTTGTAACTTATCATACAGTAAGGATACAGCCTCCTCTAAAGAACCCATTCTGAGGCAACTGGACCAGTCCGTATTATCAAGTTGTTGACATATTTTAGTGTAATCTGCAAAATTATACAGGAATTTTGTTCTGGTTTGCGGTGAAAGCGTATTTTGGTGGATGAAGTCAACAGATATACATAGTGCTATGTGATGAGGATCTTCCGAAACTAAAGGGTCTATACATTTATGAACATTTATAAAATTGTTGCAGAAAATTAGATCCAGAATTCTGTTGTTACAGTTTAGTTGACTGTTATATTGAGATAAGGAACATAAATTAAGAGTATCAAAAAAATCCGATTGAATGGGACCTTGAATATTAAAAGGGCATTGAGATTGCCCATCGTCAGCTGGCTGCCATATTATATTCGGCAAATTAAAATCGCCTAAAAGTAAAAAACCATCTGCCAAGTTATTTAACACAATATCATTTAATTTAGTGGAAAAACATTGTAATTGCTGTATTAAGGAATTACCTAAGTTTTGACAGCATATATAAACAAGACAAATATTTAATTTGTAACACAAATTAGGCGATGTACGTTTTAGGGTCAGAGTAATCCATATGTCCTCAGCTGATGAACGCCATTCACTGCGTTCAAAAACTATAAGCTCTCGTCGAACAGCTATGAGGACACCACCCCCCATGCTTTGACCTGTATCAGAATAATTCCTATCACGCCTTCAAACTAGATATCGGTCGTCAAATAATTCTGTGTCATTGAAGTCCTCATTAAGCCAAGTTTCCGTTAAGCATATTAAGTCGTAATTATTCATTACGATATTCCTATATATAGTTGCTACTTTAGTCCGTAAGCCCCGGACGTTTTGGTAGTATATATTATATTTTTTTATGTGAGTGTTTTCTTAACAGGATAAGCACTAAAATAACGCGGTAGGTAATAGTAGCAACTACAAATAACTTACGTTGAGGTATATTAGAAAATAATCTACTATTCATTAGGAGAATGCATAAATATTTCACGATATGAGCATACAAATAATACACATAAGTATAAGCAACGACCCGCGAGCAATGAAGTAAAAGTTTTAGTGGAGTAATAATAGTTAATCTCTTACACTCTGAAACTGATGCTAAGATATGACATATATGAAATTTATAGTAAATGTATATTGTGTACCCTAAACGGCAGAGCAAATGATTACCTGTTACAGTTACCACGGTGCAAGAGTTACTGTAGGTTAATATAAGTATTATTAACTTAGTGAATAATATACAAAGCACACAAAAATAATTCATATATGCGTATACATAATAATAAACAATTATTCGTAATCTATAAAACAAATAACATAGCACAAATATAACATGCGAAATGAAATAAAATGCGGAATGCAAAAATCTAGGATATGCGAAAGAAAAATTAAAAAAGGGTATTATGGAAACTAAGCAAGTGAGATTCAATATGCAAAACGTTACTTCAACAACTGTGCGTTAATTCATTTGAACATCTTTAATTAAAATAATTTCTGCAAAGGAACACCTGATTCTATTAATTATCTTAACTCCCGAACT